TTCGGGTCAATGGTAGAGTCCACTTCACTTGGACTTCTTGAATCGTTCAACTAATAAAACACGTTGAAGCGAAAGCTCATGGAAAGTTAGGGAAGTCCTACTTTGAAGAAAATTCTTTGGTTTCCTTCTTTTCTTTTTTAAATAATAAAAACTATTATTAGCATTTTAAAATTTTAATTATACACTTTTCATAACAGGATTATTTCTTTTTATAAGAAAATATTATTGTTACTCTAATTCAACAATAGCTTCTAACTAATGTTTAGATTTCTTGCAGGCGGAGTTGTAATAGCTTCTAACTGAATGATAGGCATGTAATCATCACTTCTCTTGGCATTGAGCAAAAAAAACATTCGGGACAAATATTGGGATGATATATGGACTGTCTGATTTTAGCACTAATAATTTGAAACATATTCGTCTGTTGCTACAACACTCGAGTGACAAACGTTATAAAAGATATAACTAGATGAAACAACAAATTTGCTCATGGAGTCCAATAATGCCATAGACACAAAAAGATATAACTAAATGAAACGATAAATTTGCTTATGGCCAGGTTCAATATAGGAGAAGAACTTATATGGAACGAGTTCACTGCCATTTGCAAAGCCACGTAAAGAGTACCATGGCTTAAAGCCTAGGTAGCTTTTAATAAAATAAAAAATAAAAAAAAATTGCATGTAATTTTCATTAATTTTCAAATGTAGCGCACAATATATACTTGGCCACTAAGCGTAATTATTTAGTTTAATTATATATAAGATTATATATTACAATTCATTAACCATCTCTATTTCTTACACCCTTTTTCTCATCGCTTCGTGTACATATTTGCATCAAGTTTGGCCTTGTTTAAATTTTAGCATGTATTTGTTCTCATTAGATTCCAATTTTACATGTATTTGTTTAATAATGAAAATTTTTGGCTCACCATGTGAAAATTTTCTTAGATTAGCTGATAATGTGAAAAAAATATTGTATGTTTCTTCATTTATAAAAAATTAAATCTTTAAGCTAGCACACTCGGTAAAGGCTTCGTCCTTGTTCACCATCACGTGACATTTCTTGTCCAATACTGCATTATTATGTGTAAAGCATTCTTCATATGATAATGTATTATTAAATATGAATGCCGCGTGATAATGACAGGTTATTAAAAAAATTTTAAAAAAAAAATGTGCTAACCGTGCCGCATACGCTTAGGCAAGTGGTTCTATTATTTGCCTTGAACTAGCCATCAAATTCGAGTCTACTAGAAATTGAGTTATTTATTTGAATAAAAGGAAGAGGGGGTTTATTTTGTATTATTTTTTGTTGGAGTAGGATTCTCTTCTTTTTTTTTCTCTCTCTCTCTTTGTCTCTTCTCCTATTTGAACGGTCACGTTAACATCTTATATTAATTTTTTATAACAAGAAAAAGACAAAATAAAAAAATGTGAGAGGATGAGATGAAAATGGATGGGAAGAGAATCCTAGTCTTTTTTATTGACATGCATACTGTAAGGGGTCATTTTGATGGGAAACTTGGATGGGATAGTGATGGTAGCACCTCTTGCGGGTCAATGGTAGAGTCCACTTCACTTGGACTTCTTGAATGGTTCAACTAATAAACACGTTGAAGCGAAAGCTCATGGAAAGTTAGGGAAGTCCTACTTTCAAGAAAATTCTTTTTTTTTTTTTTTTTTAATAAAAACTATTATTAGCACTTTAAAATTTTAATTATACACTTTTCATAACAAGATTATTTCTTTTTATAAGAAACTATCATTGTTACTCTAATTCAGCAATAGCTTCTAACTCAATGTTTAGATTTCTCGCAGGCGGAGTTGTAATAGCTTCTAACTGAATGATAGGCATGTAATCATCACTTCTCTTGGCATTGAGCGAAAGAAACATTCGGGACAAATATTGGGATGATATATGGACTGTGACATCTCATATCGCCCAGAGGAGTGATCCTTATATGTACATTCTGATCCCTACCTAGCGCAAGGCCTTTTGAGAGCTCACTGGCTTCGAGTTCCATCGGAACTCCAAAGTTAAGCGAGTAGCGCGCGAGAGCACACCTAGGATTGGTGACCAATCGGGAAGTTCTCGTGTGAGTTACCAAAAACAGAACCGTAAAGGCATGGTCGGGGCCCAAAGCGGACAATATCGTGCTACGATGGTGGAGCGGGCCCGGGAAATGATCCGTCCCGGGCCGGGATGTGACATGGATTGTCTGATTTTAGCACCAATAATTTGAAACATATTCGTCTGTTTCTACAACACTCGGGTGACTAATGTTATAACATTGTTTAGGTGACTAATGTTATTAAAGATATAACTAAAGCAAACCAGGTTAAACACCCATAAGAGAAAACTAAAGCAAACCATCACAAAGTCTAGATATTCCAGCAATGTCCGACACTAAGATATGTTGACAAGAGGAAGGAGCTTGTTCGAATAAACTGGACCAAGAAAAAACGATAAACTCAAGTTAATTAGTCTGTTCATCAACCACAAAATTCAATTCATGATAAACATGACAGAGTTCACAATTTCAATCTCTCTCTAACAACTCACGACAAGCCTGTACTAATTCACCAAGAGGATGGTTTTCACTTGAACCTTGCAGAATCACATGAACAAGGAGAGCATAATCAAATTACAATTTTAACATGTATTTGTTTAATAATGGAAAATTTCTAGCATGCCCTGTGAAAACTTTCTTAGGCTGAAAAATATTGTATATTTCTTCGTTTATAAAAATTTAAATCTTTAAGTTAGTTCATCCGGTGAAAATTTAAATATTTATGTTTACATTTATGGTCAATTAGGTTATTTGCTTCTTGTGTAGGAGAAGTTTAACAAGGATAGTACGTGCCACTTTCGCATGAGGATGCATTACTATAGCACGTAACCCTTTTCACATGATAATGACCGGTTATTAAAAAAATAAAAAAAATAAAAAAATGTGCTGACCGTGCCGCAAACGCTTGGGCAAGTGGTTCTATTATTTGCCTCGAACTAGCCATCAAATTCGAGTCTACTAGAAATTGAGTTATTTATTTGAATAAAAGGAAAAAGGGGTTGCTGATTTATTTTGTATTTACTTTTTGCTGACATGCTGTATGGGGCCATTTTGATGGGAAACTTGGATGGGATATTAGAAAAGTTTTAGGCACCAACTTGAATGCCGCGTGATAATGACAAGTTATTAAAAAAAATTAGAAAAATAAAAAATAAAAAAAATGTGTTGACCGTGCCGCATACGCTTAGGCAAGTGGTTCTATTATTTGCCTTGAACTAGCCATCAAATTCGAGTCTACTAGAAATTGAGTTATTTATTTGAATAAAAGGAAGAGGGGGTTTATTTTGTATTTATATTTTGTTGGAGTAGGGTTCTCTTCTCTTTTTTCTTTCTTTACCTCTCCTCCTATTTGAACGGTCACGTGAACATCTTATATTAATTTTTTATAATAAAAAAAAAGATAAAATAAAAAAATGTGAGAGAATAAGACGAAAAAGGATGAGAAGAGAATCCTAGTCTTTTTTGATGACATGCATGTAAGGGGTCATTTTGATGGGAAACTTGGATGGGATAGTCATGGTAGCACCTCTTGCGGGTCAATGGTAGAGTCCACTTCACTTGGACTTCTTGAATGGTTCAACTAATAAACACGTTGAAGCGAAAGCTCATGGAAAGTTAGGCAAGTCCTACTTTGAAGAAAATTCTTTTTTTTTTTTTAATAAAAAACTATTATTCACACTTTAAAATTTTAATTGTACACTTTTCATAACAGGATTATTTCTTTTTATAAGAAACTATCATTGTTACTCTAATTCAGCAATAGCTTCTCACTCAATGTTTAGATTTCTCGCAGGCGGAGTTGTAATAGCTTCTTAATGAATGATAGGCATGTAATCATCACATCTCTTGGCATTGAGCGAAAGAAACATTCGGGACAAATATTGGGATGATATATGGACTGTCTGATTTTAGCACCAATAATTTGAAACATATTCGTCTGTTTCTACAACACTCGGGTGACTAATGTTATAACATTGTTTAGGTGACTAATGTTATTAAAGATATAACTAAAGCAAACAAGGTTAAACACTCATAAGAGAAAACTAAAGCAAACCATCACAAAGTCTAGATATTCCAGCAGTGTCCGACACTAAGATATGTCGACAAGAGGTAGTAGCTTGTTCGAATAAACTGGACCAAGAAAATACGACAAACTCAAGTTAATTAGTCTGTTCATCAACGACAAAATTCAATTCATGATAAACATGACAGAGTTCACAATTTCAATCTCTCTCTAACAACTCACGACAAGCCTGTACTAATTCACCGAGAGGATGGTTTTCACTCGCACCTTGCAGAATCACATGAACAAGGAGAGCATAATCAAATTACAATTTTAACATGTATTTGTTTAATAATGGAAAATTTCTAGCATGCCCTGTGAAAACTTTCTTAGGCTGAAAAATATTGTATATTTCTTCGTTTATAAAAATTTAAATCTTTAAGTTAGTTCATCTGGTGAAAATTTAAATATTTATGTTTACATTTATGGTCAATTAGGCTATTTGCTTTTTGTGTAGGAGAAGTTTAAGTACGTTCCACTTTCGCATGAGGATGCATCACTACAACACGTAACCCTTTCACATGATAATGACCGGTTATTAAAAAAAAATAAAAAAAAAGTGTTGACCGTGCCGCAAACGCTTGGGCAAGTGGTTCTATTATTTGCCTCGAACTAGCCATCAAATTTAGGTCTACTAGAAATTGAATTATTTATTTGATTAAAAGGAAAAAGGGTTGCTGATTTATTTTGTATTTACTTTTTGCTGACATGCTGTATGGGGCCATTTTGATGGGAAACTTGGATGGGATATTAGAAAGGTTTTACACACTAACTTGCGGAACCCCTACGACCGGTCTATAAAAAAACCTCTCTCACAACCTCACTCTCACGCTAATATCGAAGAGTGCAGAACAAAACACAATGGGATTCCGCCGGTGCTTGTTTGTTTCCAATATGTGTTATACACTTTCAAAAGTTGTGTTGCTTCATCTCGTGGTTGTTAGCTCATCAGTTTCCTCATTGCAGCAATCTTGTCATGACGAGGAGAGGTCTGCCTTGCTGCAATTCAAGGAAAGCTTCATCATTAACAGATCTGCCTCGTATTCTGATGATGCTTATCCAAAGATTTTGCAATGGAAACTAGCTGAGGGACGAAACGTCAGCTGCTGTGCATGGGATGGCATTGTGTGTGATGAGAGGACGGGTCATGTTATTGGCCTTGATCTTAGTAGCAGCTGTCTCCTGGGCTCTATCAACTCCAACAGCAGCCTTTTCCGGCTTGTTCATCTTCAAGTGCTGAACCTTGCTGACAACAACTTCAATTCCTCTCGAATTCCTACTAGCATTGGGAATTTCCCTGGGCTCATGCATCTTAATCTCTCTAGTTCTTCCTTTTCTGGCCAAATCCCTTCCCAAATTTCACAGCTGGCCAACTTGTCGTCCCTTGATTTGTCTTCCAACGATGGTCTAACTGGTCATTTTCCTGAATTTAATACAAGCAGTACTCTCACTTCACTGTATCTTAGCTGGACTAGCTTATTCGGAAATTTGCCTTCTTCAATCGAAAAGCTTGATTTATTAAACACGCTGGAATTGGCACACTGCAAGTTCTCGGGTTTGGTTCCATCTTCACTTGGTAATCTTAGGCAGCTCATACATTTAGACCTTTCAGGAAATAACTTTAGCGGTCCAGTCCCTAGTTCATTGGCAAACCTCACCCAACTGAAGGAGCTCCGTCTTGAAGCGAATGCTTTTAGTGGCTCCATTCCCTCCGCTCTCGGTAGTCTCAACAAGCTCGAAGTCCTGTCACTTGTCCAGAATTATTTTAGCGGTTACATCCCGGCTTCACTAGGAAATCTCACCCACCTCACAGAACTTTCTTTGTTTTTTAATCAGTTAACCGGTCCAATTCCTTCTCTAGCAAACCTCACCCACCTCACATACCTTAATCTGTTTTCGAATCAGTTAACCGGTTCAATTCCTTCTCTAGGAAACCTCATCCACCTCACAGCACTTGATTTGTCTTCGAATCAGTTAACCGGTTCAATTCCTTCTCTAGGAAATCTCACCCACCTCACAGGACTTTCTCTGAATTCGAATCAGTTAACCGGTCCAATTCCTTCTCTAGGAAACCTCACCCACCTCACAGGACTTTCTCTGTATTCGAATCAGTTAACCGGTCCAATTCCTTCTCTAGGAAACCTCATCCACCTCACAGAACTTCCTCTGTCTTCCAATCAGTTAACCGGTCCAATTCCTTCTCTAGAAAATCTCACCCAACTCACATACCTTTATCTGTCTTCGAATCAGTTAACTGGTCCATTACCTAATTCCTTATCCAATCTCATCAATCTCGAGGTATTTGATGCATCTGATAATAATCTGACTGGTACAGTGGAGTTCCGCATGATGTTTCATAAGTTACAAGGGCTCACCGATTTACAATTATCTCGTAACAATTTGAAAATTTTCACAGAAACAGAAAGTACGAATGCAAGCCTACTTCCAAAGTTAGAATTTCTGGGATTGAGTTCGTGCAACATAAGAGAGTTCCCAAGTTTCCTGCAGTATCAAGAAACATTGGTGATCTTGGACCTTTCCTCCAACAATTTGCATGAAGTACCAAAATGGATGTTGAACACTAGCACAGAGACTTTGGCGGAGATGGACATTTCTGACAACTTCCTTTCAAGCATTGTCCAGCCTTCAGATGCCTTTCCTTGGGTTAACCTACAAGTTTTAGTGCTCAAGAATAACAATCTAAATGGAGCAATTTCACCATTGATCTGCAATCTGACTTCTCTTCAGTTCCTTGACCTCTCCAACAACAATATGAGTGGAATGCTTCCTCCCTGTCTCGGAAACTTCAGCGATGGTCTGCTAGGTTTATATCTTGGAAACAACTCTTTCAGCGGCTTTCTTCCTGAAATATACACCAGCACAAGCAGTCTGAGGGTGATTGATGTTAGTCATAACCAATTGCGAGGGAAACTACCAAGGTCGTTGGGGAACTGCACGACACTTGAGTTTATTGATCTGTCATACAATAAATTCAGCGATGTTTTTCCCTTTTGGTTGGGAGCTCTTCCGGAGTTAAAAGTTTTGAAAATGCACCAGAACGCGTTCTACGGTCTGATGGAGGAACCTCATCAGGACAATGTTGAATATTTCCCTGAGTTGCGAATTCTGGATCTATCTTTTAATAGTTTCAGAGGCAAATTTCCATCTCAAAAGATCTTTTCCGGGAATGTCATGAGGGGTGTCACTCGAAACCAGTCAACATATATGAACGTAAACACAACTTTCGATGCTAATCGCAGTGTTTATATATTATTTGAGGAATATTACTCAATCACGATAACTAGCAAAGGTGTGGAGAGATATTATCCGAAGATTCAAGAAGCCCTTGTAGCGATTGACATCTCAAGCAACAAATTTGAAGGGAGGATTCCTGAATTTATTGGGAACCTAAAGGGGCTGATATCATTCAATATATCTGGTAACCTCCTAACTGGTCCCATCCCATCATCTTTCGGGAATTTAATGTGGCTTGAATCACTGGACCTTTCACAAAACAAGCTTTCAGGACAAATCCCTCAAAGCCTCGCGCAGCTTACATTCCTTGGAACATTCGTTGTCTCTAACAACAGCTTGACAGGTCCAATACCGCATGGAACCCAACTTATTTCAATGGGTAGCAGTTCATATGAAGGAAACCCTGGATTGTGTGGAGATCCTTTGCCAAAGAAATGCGGAGATCCTCAGGCTCCTCGCCTGTCGCCTTCAAAAACCGAAGAAAATGATTCAGGCTCGTTTGAATTTGATTGGAAATTTGTTTTGGCTGGTCTCGGAAGTGGGTTGGTGGTGGGAGTTGTTCTTTCTGATGTGGTGATCACAAGGAAGCGTGAATGGTTTGTTGAGATTGTTAAAACCATCAAGCTGATGATAGGAAATTCATAAGTGCGCTATAAGGTTATGCATTTGGTGTTGTTTTTTGCTTGTTTTATATTATTTCTTTGTACTCCTTTTTAATGTTATGTCTTCCTTTTGTATTATGGTGTATTAGTTCCATAAAAGGTACTGTAAGATGAAGTGAAACTGGTACCGGGCAGAATCGTTTGCTATGTATGGAATAATAGAACAAGAATTCATAATTCTATCGAAAGTAAACCCAAATTTAACAACAGATAGATATTAGAAACAGTTTTAACTGCCAAAAACACAGCAACTCACATATGAAATATCTCAGTTATCTAATATGTAGTAGATGCAATCCAAGGTTCAAACAATCATACATGAAGTTCGTTCACACAACAATAAATAAGGGTCCATAAAAACAAAATTCACACACAAGTTTGTGCCCGAAAACCCCTATTTAACTGGGTAAAAAACCGAAAGAATTTCCAGGAGCAAGTTCATACAGAGTCATACGCATACACTGGCTCAAATCCTAAATCTTTGTCTAAAGGAGCAACTCGTACTTTTGCTCAACTTTGAAATTCTTCAAGCCTAGGAAATGAGTAGCAATAGTGCCCGCGCGATGCTGCGGATTTTAAAACTATATAAAACATGCAGAAAATTCTAAATACACACGATATGCAATACAATTTATATACATACAGAAATCTATTTACAACGATATGAATTGGCAGTTCTATTGCCATCGTTCTAATATTCACATCTTTTACAAATTTACATACAAAAGATAATATTTGATGTGTATTTACATACTATTTACACACAAAAGATTGGGTAGATAGTCCCTATTGATATCCTCATGAAATAGGCAGATAATCAGCTTATTTTACCCAATCATAACCAAACTCTGTGGTTGCAACTGACTTTAAGTTGTTAATGGAACAAAGTACCTGGAGTCGAAGATAAACCTGGTGAATGTAGAAATCTTCAAGCCCTAAACAAATTGGCCTTGCTTTTTGCAACAAAACAATCCTTTTATGACAGAAAATTACAGGAAAAACTTTTAGAAGTGGAAATAAAATTAAGTCAAATGATTAGGGAACCAGAAATTTACTGGACCATTCACAGAAATAAAATTTAAATTAAAAAAAAAAAATTTCTCAAATACATAGAGCATGACAATTTTAAACATACAAAAGCGAAACAAAATCATCGGAGCAAATAATAACATGAAATTGAAAACTTATTAACAATTTATTAAGCATATATAGGTACACCCAACAGATAATCTTATTTAATCACACCATTTTAATTTATCAAACTGATTATTTAATACTGTCACGCACAACAATATTTTACCATAATGAACTCTTACAAAACTCTCTCATCCCAGTCGCATTTTTTGTTAAAATTTTGTTTGCTTTACTTCCATCCATAAGTTTAATATCTTTTCACTGTTTTTCAAATCTTGACGAAACTATGAAGACACAAACAACAGCACTCAACTCCTTTTTCAACCCTGTATCCAATTACACAAATAAGAATGCAGCATTTTTATTAAAGCATGTAATTCTCCTCTTCCTATATTCTTCCCCTTTCTCTAACCAAATAAAAATTTCCAAAACTATATACGAATTTTTTTATAAAAAAACAATACATAATTCAAGCAAACAAAGAAAAAAAAACGAAAACTCTTTTGTGAGATTGTATTACTTTGTTAGCAACCAGCAGCAAAATGTTTCATCTTCTCACCAATTAATAAGTCGGTAAACAAATGACTAAACTTTCTTAATCACAAAAGGCTAAAAGCTAAAACCAAAAATCACTCACCTTAATGATAAAAGCACTTTGAACAGTCGCATCATGTCATTGTTTAGAAACTGAAAATCTGTAAAGTGTTAACATTTAAACATATATCAAAAATGGCATCATCACTGGGATTAATTCTTTAAGAAAATCGATGACAACTATAACATAAACATCCAAACACCAAATAAAATGCAGAAACATGGCAACCCATAACATAAACTGAATTCCAGATGAATTGAAAACAATATTACAACAAAAAACTCCAAACATAAAAAAATCCCAAACCAATTGAAAAAAAATAACCAAAACCAAAACAGACCAACTCAGGGTCATTGACACCATTATTTCAAGAAAGCTTCCCAATACTGAAGAAGCGACACTTCTCCCTTGCCTTGGAGCAGTCTTTTACTTTCAGCTTCAACCAATGAGTATATTCAACCAATAACCGAGTTTGGAAATATACAAAATAGATAATAATTTTCCTGAATTAAACTCAAATCATATATATATGAATTTTTTTTTAAATCATGTATAATCCAAATTCCAGTCCCAAAAACCAACCATAATTTTAAAAACTACAAACATGCAAAACCCAAATCAAATCTTCAAGTCATTTCAGATTTTATCAATAACTCACCAACCCAATACACACAAAAGAGTAAATTACCTGAGATCGCGGCTGCTCAAGTAGTTTCTAACGACATACAGATGGTGCAACAGCGCATACACATACGGAGACGGAGAGGGAGAGAGAAGTGGGTTCGACTGTTTGAGGATTAATGACGAACATGTGGTGAGCGCTCTAACGTCGGCAGATTGGGAGGCGTGGAGGTGCCTCATGCCTTTTAAGTTTCAAGGTTTTTACTATGGAATCGAAGCAAAACCCAGATCAGATTCTAAGTGGGTTTATCAAAAATAATAATCTATTCAGGAATTAATACTGAAAATAAATCAGAAATTAACACTGAAAATAAATTAAGAATCCAAAAAAATTGAAATTTTCATACCTCTAAGTTTCTGGGTTTTACTGTGGAATCCAATTGAGAACCACCTAAAAAACGAAATCACATACGCTAAAAAAATGCAAAAATCACCCGAACACGTTAGACTACGCAAGCAAAAAACAGATTTCAATCAAATTGAAAAGGCAGAAATCTGTAGCCCCTCCACCGTTCATGAATCGAGCAATTTTCTGGAAGAAAAACGAAGGTGAATAATCGGACAGAGAAACTTGCAAAGGGTGGACACCAAGATAGAGAAACTTGCAAGTGGTTGTTATAAAGATAGAGATGTTATGAAAGCTATATTCATGTACAGAAGTTCACAATATTAAAATCGTTCAAATACGAAAAATATTCATGTTCATATCAGAAGCTTGGCACCACACATCTGCTCAGTGTTTATGATTTTTCCTGGTCAATCTTTTGGTCTTGCTTGTTTGGGAATGACCATCTTTTTCTTGGTCATCATGTTATTTTTTGCTTTGTCCAGAATTTTTCTCTTGCTATATATTAAGAATTGGAATCAGAAAGAATTGAATATAAAAAAAACTAAATTTTTTCAATCTATCTAACTAATGAATTGATGGAAGAGTGAAAAAGAGAAACAAAAAAAGGCCATTATTCAATTATATGGAGAATTACTTGATACGTACAAAAGGTTTGAAAATTAAACTAACATTAAAAAAAAAAAAAGAGATGAGATGGAGTGGAGTGGAAATCACATACCAACATCAAGCTTAAAATTGTAGTGCTCATTTGTAGTGCTATCTGCAATTAGTCCTATCAGGAGCTTCTGCACTGGTTGATGTCTTGGTCTTTTCCTTAGCTGTATGTACATTGTAGACTTGGGTAGATGAGAAGCAGAAGAAAATAAAAATATAAGTTAAAGTTACAACTTAACTATCTATGTTGATTCATGTCCAACACACAATAAGAATAGCGAATCATTTTTCATCTTGTGCACTGGTTTGTCATTGTCACTCAAATTCACATATTCATTTACTCCGAATTTCTTAGTTATGGCCAGGGAAAGAATGTTTAAGCAAAAATATGTTTCTATGTTTTCCCACTAAACTACCTGTTAAACCAAACCTAAACGTCATAAAAAATAAAAAATAAAAGATAAATACCTTCATCAAACCTCTTGGGCTTCAAGTCCACCGACTCCACCCAATACTCTGGCACCTCAGAAATTTTTCCACCTTTAGTAGCCTAGATCATCCATGTATCAGTATAAATACGGAAAAAAAAAGTAAATGCAATTTATTAGAACAAAGAATTTGGGATCAACAAAGTTTGTCCAAACTTACAGCGAGGCCAATAAACAACTGAGGATAATTTTTCGTTTTGCTACATTGAGAGGGGAACCCAAACCTGAAAGTAAAAAAACAAAATATTCAGTAATAATGCAAACGATTCAATATGTAGTATCAGTTGAGGATGCATAATTCAAGGCTCTAAAGCATTGAGTACAACACCAAACCTGTTGGTATGGCACAACTAAGGATGCAAACTTTGTCCAACTGAGCAAGGGGCTTGATTTTGGAAAGACGGCCAGAATGAACAACAATGTATTCACTCGAAGTAAATGTGCCTGGAAAACTCTACTCATAGTTTACAAATCTGCAATTCTCAAAGCTTAATCATATAAAATCATATATATATATATATATATATATATATATTATGTATATTATATGTATGTAGTAGATATTATTGCAGACCTTCGGCAGAAGTAGAGTTCAATATGATAAACTGAGGTATATTTGACCTTTATCCTCATTTCCATGGCCTTAGGTGGAGCAACCTTCACCCTCTCCATCACCAACAGCTTCCCTGCTTCCCATGCAACCGCTGTTGCAAAATCTACAACACAGAAATCCCAAATTGAGGAGTATTAAATCTCTATAAAGACATGAACAATGGACCTAGCGGGCAAAGAAGCTGATTGGTGTTCATAAAAAAGATATTTTAGTTTTAATTACTTGATATCATGAATAAAATAAGGATAGATTGTGTTTACCCATTTTTTTGTGCAGGAAAGAAGGCTGGTTTAGCATGATTTGGGAATGACCATTTTTCTGGCAATTTTATACGATGTGATCAAATTTTTGCACGTTTGTCTTTTGGAATGTACATCAGATAAAATTTTGATCGACCATATGAAAAAGATAATGTTTTAGTATGGTGTAAATACAAAATTACAGGTGTGTATTAGTTGGGATAGCAAAAGCTTTACAAATGAGATTATAATTGAGGGTTAAACTGCTCAGTCATCATATGCATTCACAGAATGTAGACTGATTGGTATGTTTAAGCAGTAACGACAACACTTTTGGTTTAGGATAGTTAGCAATATGTGTAGTACATGTATGACTCTAATTGTCTCTTAATTATTAACTATTATAAGACTAAAATCTCTTCTTAAGCTTGTAAAGAAGCTTGAGTTTAAATTGATTTTTCTAATTCGAACAAAACTCTACTCAGATACTTCAAATAATGGAAATCATACAAAAAGCAATGATGATTGATTTTTCTAGTTAGTACATGAAATCGTGTATTGTTAATAAGTTAAACATATGAGAGATAATTTTATCAAAATAAATAAAAGATAGTGGAAGAATGGTGTACCTTCAAATGAATGATGATTGGAGGCCATGCTATACAGAAAAGCTGGTTATGCTGTAAAACAACAATAAGCAGGAATAAATTTGTATGCATCTAATTGTTTTCAGAACTGGAAAAGTCAGGAATATTGCTAACTACTTGCTGGGAGAATTTTTTAGGTGTTTTTGTTTAAAACTGGCTCTACAAACATGCATCAAATAAAGTACATAATTCTACAAATAAAGAGCACGTATGTAATTTATCAATCTGCCCAGTTTTCATAGATTTCATAATTTATCAACCTACAAACATGCTCTTCATAAACCGACGATGGCAAGATGAGAACAAAACGCTGGCCAACAAAGGGTTCGTCACCGGAGAAGACCGGAAACAAAACGCCCAATAAAATCAAACAAAGGGTTGCACACCGGAGAAGACCCGAAACCAAATCCAAAATAAAATTAAAGTCAGGATCTCTTCTAACGACTATTCTGCGAAGAAAGAGCAAAGATTTGGCAGCAAAAGAGGGAACGATGAAGAGGGAGAAAATCGCACAGCAAGGAAGGTAAAAACAAAGAGGAAAGGTAAAGTAGAAAAACAAAGATGAAAGACGCGTGACCGGGAAGGGCAAAAGAGACGTTTTACTGTGTAAAAAAGGAAACACTAGCGATCCAAAGGAGAAACTCCAGGGCATTTCCGCCCTTTCACTGTTCAGAACAGTGAAAAACAGTGCCTACGAAACTGGGTTTTAGTATATGTATAATTTGATAAATAAAAGAACATTATTTTAATCCCTAAATAAGATAATTTTTGCAATAATACGTAAGATTAAAAACTAAAAATAGTCCTCCATGTCACATTTAGTCTTTTTTTATTTTTTTTATAAATTCGACAAACTTACAAATTCAATTTGGGAAGATCCGGAGGTTGGATTTTCAATTTGTAAATTTCTAAGGTTCTCAAATGATACCTACAACAACATATGGTAATTGATAATGATCGAACAGTCAGATCTTCGTCTACTACAAAGGTAAATAATCTACAATTTCCTTCAATCCGGAAAATCCGTATATCGGATTTCCGATCCGTAGATTCCTAAGGTCCTTAACTAATACGTACAATAACATACTAAAATTTTTTGGATTGGAAGAGGCCACATCACCTTTGCTATGAGGCCACAAACATGACCTTCCTTGAGAAATAGGCTGCCCTACGTATGTAAGGACTCAAAACTATTGTAATACACACACAAATCTCAATACACCATAGTGGATGTAGCTCGATTACAGGTGAACCAACCTATCTCTTAGGATATGATTCATCTGACCTGTTTCAACTACTTGTGTCCACACAAGTTCTTTGATGACTAACCATTTTCTAGCATCAATAGCAATAGCTAAAAGTTTTTGTTTTTTTTTTTCACTTTAAAAGATTTTCTTTTTGCTCTTGAATAACTTATGTCACGCTATATTATAATTAATGATTTATATATGAAAGCATCTTAAAACTGTAGGAGTTCTTATTTACAAAAGCTTAGGGAGTTTTGTGGAAAAAACAATGAATGTGAGGGGTTATGTGAAATCTATGTGATTAACTATTAGAAATTTGTGGAGAATTTTTTAAAGATATAATCCATTTTGGGATGAAATTTTCACGGACTGGGCTCCATGGAAACAATATGAAACTTCAAGGGGTATTTTTATAAACCTCAAGGGATTTGTGTGAACACGGAAAGGGTAATGGTAAGAGACTAAATTTGTAGACAAAATTTTAGAAACTAAATGACATAGAAGTTGATGATTGGTTGATTTATTACTTAAGCGTTAATAAATGTACTCATTCCTATTGGTGACATATCATTTAGTTTTCAAATTTAGTCTTTCTAACATTACTCGCAGAGAAAACATCAAGGGATGCTAGTGTTATCAAATAAAAATTGTGAGGTATAGTTAGGGTTAATATTGTCACAAACCTGCCATTTTACGCTATGGAGATGATTTGTGGACTAAAGTTTCAGCGCATATCTAGTGAGACAAGCTTATTCTTTTGGTAATTTGATCCAACGGCTAAAATTATTATAAATTTTAAAGTGAGCTCCTATTTGTAACTGTTTGGTCAAATGATGCGAGAATTACTTGACACTCAAATTAAACCCTCATTTGACAATTGTAGTAGAATGGATAAGTGAGGGATCGTTCTAGACCGGGGATTAGGAGGGCTTGCTAAAACCTTCTAAACTGACTTAAAAACATAAAAACACAATATAAAACACTATTTAATGCTCGAAGAAAGCAAAACTAAAAATAAGAAAGATTAAGACTAAGACTTCAACGAAATAGGGGGGAATTGGATTTGGACGAATTTAAACTAAAACGTAAAAACAATATAAAACGTTAAACTAGACTTAAAGAATGTGAAACTAAACGTTAAAACACTAAGACAAACCAAAAGAATCAAAATGCTTTAAAAACACAAACTAAATTGATTTCTAACTATATTGCACATTAAAGCAAAAGGGGGATTGAGGTTTGATGAAAATTGAAATAACGAAACAAGAATGTAATTGATGAAATAAGATGGTTGGTGAATTAGCTAGAGGTTCTTTCTCCACACATGATATTTATGCATATGAATCAATTTCCAGTTATTCCTTCATTGAATTATGAACGACAATGCCCCAAATTAACCGTGACATCACTAGTTAACCCTTAGATTTTCCTTATATTATTGGATTGGATGGCATCATTCGACAACCCAAAACATTCTCAAAAGTTCCCTACATGTCATCATAATAGAGATACAATCGAAGATCATTAAGAATAATGAAAACCATAAGCATTGACAAAGCACTTGCAACTATGACATCATGTTACTCATGCTAAGAATTAAACTTAACGCGATCGTGACAAGCGACCTTCACTACTTTCAAGTATACGTTAGTAACGATTATGTGAAACCTTCTTAAACTTTAGCCACATATTCATGCATGATAATTAAGTGTCGACCCTTAATCAACAAACACAAATAAGTTAATCATCAAATAGTTAAGCCAATTGCATTCACGAATCAAGAGTTCATAACCGGAATTCATCAATTCATATTACATAAATAATCATGGTATTGAAATCACCCCTAGCCAAAAAGGGTTTAGTTCCTCATAACTTTGAAATCAAAGAAACACCTAAACATTCCAACAACTCAAACTTGAATTGTATGAACGTTTAGGCACTCTTCTCTTCCATTCCTCATATTACAAAACAAAGAGAATTGAATTTAAACATTGAAATCAAAGAAACGCGTAAACATTCCAACAACTCAAACTTGAATTGTATGAACGTTTAGGCCCTCTTATCTTCCTCTTTATTGTGGCACAAGGACTAAGGGATGTTGTTGGTGTGTTGAATGGATTGGGGGATTATGGAAATGGATGAGGAGTGGTGGAGAAAATGGAAGATAGAAAGAAAACCCACGGCTAGGAGAGGGAATGGAAGTGTTTGTGGTGTGGTGTGGTGTTGTGTATGAAATGAGATGATTTTTGAATGAATGAATGCAAGGGTATTTATAGGAGGAGTGGAGATGTATATGGCTATTTGTTTAAGGTGTTTGTGGTTGCAATGATGAAGAATTGCATGTGGAAATAAAAGGGAAAATGTGGTGAAATGATGAAGTAGGAAGGTGGAAATGCATGTGAGATGTTGGAAAGGAAATGGGAATATGAGTAGGCCATGGCATGGGAGTTGTTTTGTTGGTGTAAATGTGCCATGGTTGCAATGATGAAGAATAAAGGGTGCATGTGGGGTGGAAGTGATGAATGCAAAGTGAATGAATAATGAAATGAGTTAAAGAGGGAGAATGTGGTGAAATGATGAAGTAGGAAGGTGGAAATGCATGTGACTTGTTTGTGGAATAAAGAATGAATGGTGGAATGATGAAGTGAATGCATGTGGAATTAAAGAGGGAGAATGTGGTGAAATGATGAAGTAGGAAGGTGGAAATGCATGTGAGATGTTGGAAAGAGGTGGGTGTGCATGTGAGTTGAAATGCATATGTTTAAATGGTTGAAATGTGTAGATAATTATGAGTATGATAAGTGAACTTTGTATGGTTATGATAAGTGAATGGTGAATGATATGTTAAGTGATAAATGAATGATATGTGGTGAGTGATAAGTGAATGGAAGTGATAAGTGATAAGTGATAAGTGTATGTTATGATAAGTGAATGGTTTGATAAGTGATAAATGAATGATATGTGGTGATAAATGAATGATATGTGGTGAGTGATAAGTGAATGGAAGTGATAAGTGATAAATGTATGATATGATAATTGAATGATATGTTAAGTGAATGATATGATAAGTGAATGCTTTAAGTGTTTAAAAATAGGGAACAAAACCCTTCCTTGCATGGCAAGGAACGGAGACACAAGGAAACACACGACAATGTCCTAAGGTTGCAAGGAATGTTGTTTTTGTGTTCTAAAATGCGTAGGAGTTTTCAATGATGCTTAAACATGAGGTCTTTTAGGATTTAACTTTCCTACTTCAAGCCTTTAATTTCGTCCATCCTCTTGGCTCCAAGCATATGATATCCATTCCAATCTCTAATTTGCTCCAAAATGCTCCAAAATGCATCCTTTTGCATACCTTGCCCTTAGAACCTGAAAACACACAAAAGAAGCATAAAGGACTAAAATAACTAGAGAAACATAACGTAAATGCACGAGAACAAGCCATTTAAGTCGCATGAATATGCTCCTATCAAATACCCCCACACTTATCTTTTGCTAGTCCTCGAGCAAAACAGAAAGAAAAACAAAACAACACGAAACGAAACAAAACAAGTAAAACACAACCTAAACCTTCCAACAACTGTCTTAGGGATTTCCAATGCACATGACATGTTAAAAATCATCATTCTCACAGATTTTAGTCATCTTCACACTTAAGTACATTCTTAATCATAGTCACCATATACTAGTTCACAATTAAGCATTTAAAATCATGTTTTGAATGTAGTAACATGCCTTAGAGAATTTGCTCAATTCCTTACAAGATATGCACTCGATTTTCACTCAGAATTTCTAACAACATACCCTAATCTAGTCATATGTGAGAAGATTGATGTAAACATGAAAACGAACACTCACATATATGTATCACAAAGAACGCAATTTCTGGAGTTAATAAGCATGTTTAGATATGATCTCATGAATGGAATGCTACTACTTAGACGCGAGAACCAGTGACACCATATGCTCATACCAAATTCAAACTCCACAATTGAAATGCACAACACTCAAGATAGAAGTCAAGGGTTGTAACGGGGTTTGAGGTATTGGCTCACAAGGAAAGGTAGGGATAAACAAAAGTTCTTTAAACAATAGCAAGCAAAGTAATGAAATTAAGGCTTAGAATTCACTTGGTATGCAGAAATCAACTTTTAGACATAAGGGGGAGATTCAACAACTCTTAGGGCCTAATTTATTGTTTTGGGTCCTTACTTCAACAAACAATACTTTTCAACTTTTTTTTTTTTTTTTTTTTTTTTTTCTTTTTGGCCGTGCCTATGGCACATCAAC